ACCGGGCGGGGGAGGCGGACAGCAATGCCTGGAAGGTGGGACTCTGCTGAGGACCGGACAGGGTAGGAGGCGGGGCGGCTGGGACTTCACGGGATGGTCCTGAGCCAGGAAGCCCGTCCTCCCTCCCAGGGGAGCGACTTGGCAGAGGGCGTGTGGTTCAGAGGTGAGAGCTGCTCACTGCCACCACAGCCTGGGGACATCGGCTTTGGGGACGCCCGTGAGCGTTCCTGCCAGTGGTCTGGGCCTCAGGCCACCAAGCGCCAGCCCCACAGCCTCATCCTGCCCTCCTGGTCCTCGGGCAACAGGGCGCTTCTGCGATGCCCTTGGGGGTTAGCGTCGTCTCTGCCTGGGGTGACGCAGGGGACACGGACATAGAGCCTGGAGGCAGGCCCTCCTGGGTCCAGAGCTGGCTCCTGGCCACTAGGCCAAGCCGTGTGATGTCATCGAACGCGGGTTAGGGGTGCGGGTTGAGGCAGTTGGGGGAGTATGTGTCCCAGGAACTGGCGGGGAGGGGACAAGTCGCGGCCCCCACGACGTGAGCACGCACGTCCCTGGCTGCTGTGCCGTCCACGAGCCTCGGAGTGACACGGGCCTGGCCGGGAATCACACGTTTGGGGGACAGACATCAAGCACAGAGGTGATGGAGAGCCCAGCGCAGAGGCCCTGGCTCACACGATTCCCGCACAGGACCCCTCACCCCCGCCCCACTGCACAGAGACTCAGCACTGTCCTCCTGTCCCCAGGGCCCACGGCCCACATACCGCTCGCTTGTCTTGACTGCCCACTGTGACCCAGCCCACGAGGTAAACAGTCACCCCCACGACTAGAGGAACGGCCGAGGAAAGTCCCCGTGAAGGGCTGCCCCACGGGGTGTGTGGCGGGCATCCCGCACGGCCGGTCCTCATGCGGCCTGCTTGGGAGGAGAACTCCTGTGGGTCTTCGGGGACACCGTGGTGTCACCGGACATCAACGCCCTGCTCCTGCCAGGCCCTGCTGATGGTGCGGGACACGGTGCGGGACGCAGGCGGTTGCAGGGCCTGGGCGTGACGGGGCAGGGCCCCTGGGAGTTACTTCAGCATCGCCAGCCTGGGAGGGGCGAGGTCAGCACCCTGGGGGACGCCCCAACCCAGATCCCTGACTGGGACGCCGAAGGGTTTCAGAAACACCCAAACCCTATCACAGCCTCCTGGGCGTGACCTCTCTGGGGAACGCATTTTTCAAAGCTGAGCTGTGTTCTACTGTGGGTCGATGTGCTGAAAACCGGGTCAGCCCTGGAGCCCAGACAGGGGTGGGGACAGGGAGAACCCGGCCCGTGCCGGCAGAGGCCCCCCACGGCGTGGGGCACAGCACAGGAGACGGCCGTACTGGGGCCCGGGGCCGGCCCATTGCCGCGCTCAGGACAGTTTGCTGACCACAGTGCGCGTGCCAGCGGGGTCGCTCTCCTGGGCCGATTCTCTCGCCGCCAAGGGGGCTTCGAAACGGCTTTGTCCAGCTCACCGCCGCTTGAAGCAGACTGTGGCCGTGGCTCGGGACAAGGCCGTGTGGTTTGGAGGTCGTTCCAGGAAGTTGGACTGAGCGAGGTGGGCGGGAGAGAGGGGACAGCACAGGCCGAGGGCTCCGGCAGTGGCACCCCACGCCCAGGGCCCCAGGGCCTGTGGGGGTCCCGCCGAAGGAAGAGCCTGCGCATTCGACCCCGGCCCCCGGGGCGTTTCGCTGGGGGTGTTTAGGCTGAATAAGCAGTGGGACACCAGAGCAGGGTCTTTGTGGCCCCCCAGCCCTCGTCCCCTCACTCTGGGGACCCGTCTGCACCCACCTGTTCCTGCGCCGTGGCCAGCAGTAAGGCGATGGTGTCAAACGCGGGCCGGGCGCAGCCAAGTCACATCTCCAGCGGGCTCTGATGCTGAGGGAAGAAACTAGGGTTTCGACGCCCTGCGTTCTCGCTCAGTTCTCGCGACGGACGGGCCGGTCCAGTCGGTGGGGTGGCCCGTTTCTGTGGGTAGAGACCCAAAAAGGCAGTGCCGAGCAGCTGTGGACACGTGAGAGGCCCAGCGTCCCTGATGTTGGTCCTGTGGCTCTTGGGCTATTATTTTATAATATTTTTCTTTAAAAACCTTCTATGCAGGAGCAAAAGTTAACGTTTATGAAAGACAGGCCCTGTTTTGTACTGAAAAGCACAGGTTGTGGACACAACTCCAGGGGCGGCTGGATCATCAGCACCCCGGACGCTCAGCTCGCTCACCGGTGGGATGAGACATCTCGCCGGAGCTGGCGGGCGAACCGCGGGCTGCGGGGGCCCCGACCCCCTCTGCGCAAACCCGAACTCGCACCGGCTGCTGCTGGGCCACGCGAGGCTTCAGAGACTGCGCCGTGTTTCTGCAGCTAGGACTTCGAAGCGTCGCGTCCCGCTGCCTGCTCTGCCTTTCGTGGCCCGCGTCAGCCACTGCAGCCACGGTGTTAGCTTGTCTTGAGTTTAGGTTTCCTTGTAGTGTCACGGGCTGCAAATTTTGCACATTTTAATAACAATTTTACACTATTAATCATTTCATTGTGTTTTGTATATTTTTTAGTTTTTAAATTAAAGCAGTCCTCAACGTTTTAAAGTCCAGATTCTTATTCAAGAAAAGCTTAAAACCCAGAAATAGCTCTTACGTTGCTTGCCAAGACGTGATTTAAAAAGTATTTCCTGAAAAAAAAAAACAAGTCAGCAAATCATTTGTGGTTCCCTCAGAGGCCAGCGAGGGTGTCTCCCCCTTTTCCTCTGTTACGCAATGGAAAATTTCAACACTTACCTTGAATCAGTAACATACGCTTCATCAGACGCCGAGATTCCAAGTTCCCCACAAAGTGTCTTTCTAGTGGTCAGAGGTAGGTGGGACCCCGAGTCCTGGGGCCGGCCACCTCTGGCCGCACATGAGTCCCCCAGCAGGCCAGACGCGGCCCCTCCTTGGTCTGTGGCGTGGGAGATGGCCCCCCAGGCGGCCGGGGACCCTTTCCCGCCTGCGCTGGCTCGGGGGCCAGAGACGCTGGGCGGGACCAGGACAGCCAGACCCCGACGTGTGCGTGTCTGCACTCCGGGGTTTAGGGCCTGGGGAGAGGGCGGCCCGGGGTTTGACCGGAACCTGTCCTCTGGTGGCCTTGCTTTGTGTGCGAGCGGGGGCGGAGCACGTCCCACGACACGGGAAGCACAGCGTGGCTCAGGACATCTGGCTCCAAACCACCGAGACGCACTGACTCGTCCCCTCGACGCTCAGCGCTGTCCGCTGCCTCGACTGTGTTCAGACTGTCTCTGGGGGCTGGCACAAGGTGGTGACGATGCAGAGAGCCCCGGGCTCACCGAGGGGCCGGAAGGTCGGGTCAACGGCGTGGGGTCCGTGCACCCTGCAGGCTGAGTGTCGGCCATGCTGCATCTGAGACGCTTGTTCTGCCCGTCTTAGGTCATAATCTGGACACGGATGCAGGAAAGTGGGTCACGCCCGAGACACAGACACACGTTGCTGTTCGTTGGGAGTTCCACGTGGGGGCTGAGCCCCCATCGTCCCCAGCTCCGCTGCCCGTGGCCTGAGCGGCCTCCGTGGCCTCCACTGGGAGTGACCCCGCCCGCGTCCTGTCAGGTGCTCAGGGCCTGCGAGG